GTCCGTCTATATCCAGGATATAGAAGATATCCTAATGGATATTCAGCAAAATATCTAATGGGTATCTTCCAGAAAATACAAGAAATCACAGAGATATCCACAGAATATATTTTGTGGATATTCAATATATCCAATATGGATATCCAACCAAAAATGTCCGTCTATATCCCAGGATATAGAAGATATTCGGATATTCAGCAAAATATTTTATCTTTAGTAGAGGTTCATAAGTAACCAATGATTATTGAATAACGTCGAAAGAAAATGGCAGAGATAAAAAATATTTTCAACACTCTGCCTTTGATTTTGCCCACTAAGGAGAAAGTCATCCTTATTAGGACTCTTCAGCAATAAATAAAAATTCTCGACTACAGTCTCTAATGGAGTGATTAGGACACACATTTCGATCGAACTCATTTACGGCGGGTCTAGCATGAGTAGATGCAATAGTGGTATCGCCATCTATACTTAGTAAGCAGAATTAAATAACATCTAGTGGATATCCACGATGGTTTGCGTTCGCGCCTAGACTTTGATATATTTAGTGGATGTTCATGAGATATTGAATACACCTTAAAAAAATTAATTTTAAATATCTGAACGGTACTATTAGCCACAATGGCGAGCACAATGGCGTAATTTTTTAATAATTTGCTATATAATTACTATTATTTATGCACATTTGCATGTCTATAAATTACATTTCATGGATATAAAATAGATATCTACCATGGACTGGACATTCAGTGGATATTGGGATGTTCAGTAGATATCCAAAGGATTTGGTGTGCTGTCTGGGACAACGACCTGTCAAAATGCTTCCTGTGGGTTACGATGTGGCAACCCTGTGGGCTTGGTGTCTTTGATAATGTCCAGCTAGCACATAACGTTGTCAAATGTTTTGGCAATGTTGCTTTAAGGGAAGGTAATACCATTACTATACATGGAGAAGTTGCTGAGGGAAATCAAATCCTCACAGAATTTCTATTTGTTACTTTCCTATTTGACCTACCTGTTTTTCTAATTTAATGTCTATTGTTTTGAATTGTAATGCCTGGTGTGAAATTAATTTTTCAGTTTCCAACTACAATAAAAAACAAAGAATGGTGGATAAATTGTTGCAAACGAGAAGATATATTTAACAATGACTGCCTATATTTTACACCAAATGATTATAAAAGAGATTTTCAAAACTAACTTTTAGGTAATAAAAGGTGACCATATTTATTTTGAGCCAATGTTTGACGCTGAACACGAATACAACATTGTTGATGAACTTTCGCGACGTGAAGAGAAGTCATATAGATGTACTCATGTAGCTCGCCAAACATAAATAACCTGTTTACGTTTCAGTAAATTATGTATTAGATTGCTGTACAATATGGGCGTTTTTCTGGTTAAATACAGCGGTTCGCTGGACATATATACCTTTGCTGTACGTTTGCTGCACGCTGCATACAATCAAATGCTGAATAGACTTTGAAAATTCTGTACAATACAATAAAATGCTGTCACCCTAGTGACTAAATATACATTTTAAAAATATTAATTTGTAGGTTTCTTTTGTGCTGGATTATAATTCTAGACAAAAACTCGGAAATACTAGAAGCTAAAATAAATACTACAGAATTGGTTAAGGAATAATTTATAACATCTGAAATTTTAAATAAAGTGAATCTCGTATTGGTGGTGAAAAGAGCTAAACCACATTTTTTAGGTAAAATAAGTTAACTAGGTATCACATAAATTATGAAAAATACAGTGTTGAAAAGAGGTAAGCGATTTTGTAATTATAACCTTATAAAATCCGACAAACTGTGAAAAAAGCTATGTGAAAATACCTATTTTTTTCTTTCAATGGTAAAACATGTTTAAGTGACATATATTTCTTTTTCTTTCGTTTTTAAATCAATCTTAAAATGAATGACGTGTTTTCGTTTGTACCAATTCAGTATATGAATACAAGATTTAAATCAAAAGTTATTTTAACCTAACAGTTACAAACTTATCAACAAATGTTCTAAATTTAATAAGTGTGTGGTTTAGTTCTTTTTACCACTAGTACGACGCATCCAGTGTCAAAAGACCGGTAGGCCCTCGTTCAAACAAAGGGCCCTCGTTCAAGCAGTGGGTCTTCGTTCAAGCAGTGGGACCTCGCATAACTTCAGGCAGTGCCCCCCTGTTAAGGAAGTGGGTCCTCGTCCAGACAGTAGGTCCTCGTTCAGCTAGTAGGCCTCGGTCAGCCAGTGGGCCATTGAAAAGAACAAAAAAGTATTAAATAAAAGAAACCCCGTTATACATGAGGGGACCTTTTATTTTGCTCTTCAAATGAAAATCGGACCATGAAAAAGGTGAGCCTTTCTCTCGCCCGTCCGGTAGATTCTGGAGGTCCCAATCCGCTGGACGCATCTATAGTTAGATACATGGCACCTATATATTGGTGAAAAAAAATCAGATTCAAACAGTGCATTCTCTTCAACAGGCTTTGCATCTGCTTGATAACCAGTTCAAGAAAAAAGTTGCGAGAAACCACAGATGATGCCATGAGTTTATAGCAGAATACGGTGCAAAAAAACAAATTATTTTTTAAAAAATGTTCTGTATAGCTTGGAAATCCATTATTATGCATCAAATTTGTAAAATCAAAAAAAAAATGAATATATTATTTATCTATTTAAAATAACAAAATAAGTAAAAATCAACTAAAAATATAACATATAATTTACTTTAATAATAGTTAAACAAACAACAATTTATTTCCTCAAAGCTTATTTTTCACAGAAGAAACTATGTACCTAATTAAGCTTAACATTTGTATAAAAACTATCATTAGTACCAGTTGCAGGTAAATATCTTTTTATTAGCATCGTACACCTGCCATCGTCATAACAATCTAGTAAACTTAATAAATATGTATATCTAAAAAAAATGTCAATATTCAGAATTGAGTTTGTATAATAAAAAATGTTCCTTTTATAAACACAAATCTCTTTGAATACAATAATTCTAGAAAGTTAAGTGTTTTTACTACGTTACGAATTTCAGAGCCAATAAACTTTATATTATTTATACCTTGGGTAAGTTGTCTAAAGATTCTTCTTTTAATCCTGTTTGTACTTTGGCTATTTTTAAAAAATTAAATAACAATTTTAAAATAAATCAAAATAATTTCGCAATTGAAAACGATGTAAGGATTTAGACAGACAAATGAAACCACGTTGCCAGACTTAAAGAAAATATTTCGCGATATCGCAAATATGATTTGAATAACAGTTCGATTAAGAAGAAAGTTTATTGAAAATATTGAAATAGTAAGTAGTAAGTAGTAAGTTGCTTCATAAAAACTGAATTTAAACAGATATTCTTGTACTTTTAATATGTATGTTCCTATGTTAAATTATACGATCTTAATAGTTATAAATTGTCGGTTATCCGGAATTTCAATAATTCTTTAAAAGAAGTGGCAACGAGGTACAAACATATCAACTACCGCCTGGAAGGTTATAAATTACCCAATCAGATTTTAGGCTTCATTATGACTATGTTTATAAAACATTGTGGCGCGCGTTTCAAATTTGTTTAAATTTTTTGGAATTTAAAAAAAATTTTATAGGAAAATTTGAAAAGAAAAAAATTTCAAAAAATATTTTTAGATTAGATTTTGTGCCAGCTTTTAGAAAAAATATTTTTGAATTTTACTAAACATGCCCATTATCACTAAAAAATAACGTCGCGGTGACGTCAGTGTGCTGGGTAGTGAACCTTTTAGATATTCCTTATATACCCTTTATACCTACCTTTCTCTAGTTGTTCAGTGTTTTATAGGTAGCTGCTTATGGTATCGCACATGTAATTGCGTAACTTTGTGATATACCTATATTAATAATACCTATTGATACCCCTACTTTTGTGATATTGGTACTTCATTTCAAGAGCGTTTTAATAATAAATATGTGCAATTTTTATTTTGTTTCAATGAGATTTTACATAAATAACAATATAGTCTGTCCAAGGATGGCAATATTTATTTTAAATAAAAAAAAGTATTTCTTCATAATTTCTCAAGGTTACTCGTATTTATTTAACAAGCAAAAGAAATTATTAGGAATTCCTTTTTTTATTTAAAATAAATAATATAATTAAGTCCTTCCGTGGACACACGGTATAATGCTATAGAACTAACTCACATTATAACATCTATAGAATGTTTCAGAACAACTTTCGGAGGAAAGTACTGTAAAACTGCTAGCTGTTTTCCGAATTTCACTTTGTAACCTCTATAAGATGTGCTATAAAAGTCTTGCCCTTGCAGACATTCGGCGGTTGCATGAATGTTAGGGTTACAATAAAAGTACATTGCATGTGAGCTTAAAAAGCCTGGAATTGCTGCTTATTAACGTAGATGAGTTGTTTATGTGCTATATGAGTAGTATATGCTAACCACTAAATATTATACATACTTAGCATATACCTAGAACATAGTAACAAATGAAAGTATATAATTATGGCATACTGTACACATACTTGAATATTTGCATAGCATGTATGAACAACGCCCTGTAACATATCCTTAGTATATTCTGGAAACGTTCTAAATACAAATAAAGTGCATATTCTTGAAAAGTTTATGTGTATTAAGAATATGCTGAGAATATACAATTGTTGTCTATTCAAATATTAATATATCTAATTTATTTAAAATAAAATTCAAAGCTTATCTATGAATATGAATACATATTTATATATAGTTATTTTGTTTGCTGTTATTCATGTTATTATAATTTTAACATTTATATATTTGTCTTATTTGTATTTAAGATTTATGGTTTTAACTATTTTAAATTATTGTAAATTGTAAAAAAATAATAAATAAAATTTGTTATTTTATAAACAAACGATAAAATAATCGGTCCATCATTAACCCGAATCGGGCTCACGGTGCTTTCCATCGGATCGACCAATAGCAGAGAGGTAACAGTCAGTTGTTTTGCAAGAGAAACGGTGAATAGAGAGCACACATAGTAGGCGAAAGCCCGCGGGGTCGTTCATGTACATCGTGCAGCTAATTATAATAGTGTTCAGGGGGGTTGGCACGGTGCATCCAACGGTGGGGATAGAGGGGGGCGGTCACCACCGACCTCACGCAGTCTCTCACGTTGCCTACGGAACCGCTGTGTCCTGCACACACATTGTTACACCGAGAGCCTTCCTCTACCCATACGCTCTGGACACGACGAGAGTATACACTTCCGATTCAACGCCGGTTACTTCCCAGTGCCGTACCAGTGACCGGCGATTTTCCCGCTTTTCCGCTACCCTCAGTGCCCAGTGCTCCACTACCGACCAACGAAGTGCCGCGATAAAACTTCCCACGTACTTATATACTTAAACTCCACAAGTGTCGTGGTGATATCGTCGCGAAATAACTTACCTACCCTTCCGGAGTTGCTATATCGTCGCGAAAAAACGCTATTTAATCTACAAAATCTTCAAGTGTTGGTTAGTTTATTCATTATCAAATTCGTCATCAGAACTTTTTCGTTTATTGATTTTTTCGTTATTATCTTGTGCCAAAAACATTGTTAGTGGTGATATCATCGCGAAAAACTCTACTTAACCTACAAAGCCTTTAAATGTGGTGATATCGTCGCCATCAAACTCATTAACATACAAATAGATACTACCGAAGTGCGCCTCTACTCCGTACCTGTTATGTTTACTTGATTAGACTATCGTGGGTGGTTTTTCAAGATGGAGGACGGCTGGGAATCCCACGTACCCCCTTTGATGATGGGCGTAGGGATGGGCGACATGCAGGACATGGGGGAGATTTCTGGAGAGATGGGTATGCAACAGCAGCATCATCACGAGATGAGCGCGCATAACGATCTGAGCCAAGATTTGGAGCAGGATTTGAGGCATCACGATATGAGATCGCATCACGGTGATAGCGGTGATTATTATTCCCATCAGGTAGGATGATAAATATGTTTATTTTTACTATGGTAAAAATATATAAATCTATTATATATTAGGTCCACTAACTAATTTATTCAGATACCTTACAAATTTGCAATAAATTTAATAACTACTACGTTAAGATTGGACAACATTACATTATGCTAATAAAATAAAAACACTACCAAATTATACTGAAAAAATTGATTAAATTAAAAAATTCAATATATTTACATCGAACTAATTTTATTGAAGTTGAATGTGTTATAAAAAAAAATATTCAGTTAAATACAACATTAAAAGTTAAAAAAAAAATTTGAAAAAACTGGTTTTCCCAAAATTTTTAAAACAAGTATTAAAAAGCCCATATACAAAATGGATCTAAACTTGATATGGTTAATAAGACCCATTACCTTAATATCAAACTTTATCAAAATTTATGAAAAAATTCTAAAACCCCAACAAAATTCCTAAAAAAAAATTTGATGTCATAGCTTACAAACAATTCGAATTTAGAGAGGGCAAATCAGCAGAAGGTGCAGTATACAAAATAATTAAATATCATAAAAGCTTAGATAATAGTGTTCCTTTTTTTTTTGATAATAGAATACTATTAGATAAACTAAAAGTGTAGATGATGTTACCAATGATTTCAAGATGGTATTTTTTGGAGTACCTCAAGGAACAGCGCTGAGGCCACTTTTATTAAATATGTATACATACGTTATTTAAGCTAGAAACAAGTGGCTTTGTCAGGATTTACTGACGACACTGCTATACTCTATACTGCTAAAGACTGAAACACACTGAAGCAAATTATTCAAGAATAAATGCATGAACTACTCTTAAAAAACTTTTAACATTGTACTTAAATAGTCTTCATAATGATGGTGCGTGGGGTTTTCCGGGTTTTTCTCCCCTGAAAGTCAAATGGCACCATCAATCATTATTAAGTCGCCCCAGAGCGTCAAGGCAAGGAATTAAGATATATAATTCCTGGCATTCTATATGATACTCTACACAGTTAAAGAAACCCCCTTTTAACCCCCCATTTTTAATCAATTTTTTTTCATAATCAATATGCTTTATCCCTCCTATAAAACCATTATTTTTTCGGAAGAATTCAAGTTGATATCGTTTTTTGTTTCTGAGTTAGAATGTTATTTTAATATTTTAGTCCCTTTTGACCCTCTATTTTTATTCAGATTTTTTTTCAGAATCAATAGGCTTTATCCCCTTATACAAAAATTTTAAGTTGATATTGTTTTCCGTTTTTAGTTTATAATTCTTTTTTAATTTTAACCCCCCTTTAATCCCCTCAATTTTAATATCAGATTTTTTTAAATCAATAGACTTCGTCCCATTGCATAGCTTGATTTTCCTGAAATTTTCAAGTTGATATTGTTTTTCGTTTTTGATTTATGATTTTTTTAGATTTTAACCTCCTCCTCATTTTTATGAGATTTTTTTAAAAATGAATAGACTTCGTTCCATTGTGGAGCTTGATTTTTCCTGAAAATTTTAAGTTATTATTCTTTTTTGTTTTTATTTTTTGATTTTTTTTTTAAGTTTCAATCCCCCCTTAACCCCTCCATTATTAATCATATTTTTTTCAAAATCAATAGGCTTCGTCCCCTTATAGAGATTAATACGTCCTAAACATTTCAAGTTGATATTGTTTTTCGTTTTTAATTTGTGATTTTTTTTACATTTTAATACCCTTAACCCCCACGTTTTATTAGATTTTTTAAAAACAAATAGTGTTCGTTCCATTGTAGAGCTTGATTTTTCCTGAAAATTTCAAGTTGACATTTTTCTTCGTTTTTGTTTTATGATTTTTTTAAAGTTTCAATCCCCCATTAACACCTCCAATTTTAATCAATTTTTTTCAAAATCAATAGGCTTCGTAGAGATTGATTTTCCATGAAAATTTTAAATTCATATCATTTTTCATTTTTGACTTACCGTGCGGACAAAAAACGTGACATCGGACGGACATTTTTAAAAATTGTTTAAAATTTGACGAGAAGGATTTTGTTACAAAAAATTTAAAATTTGAATGAATATTAAAAATTTTGGTTTCTTGAAAGCAAACCTATAATACTCTTCACAGACTACTGTGTGAAGAGTATAATAATATTAAAAGACGTCTCTTCCCCGGACAAGCTCAGCTTTTGGGGTTAAAATTCACTCGTAAGGGGGTGAATTAGGAAGAGTATTATTATTAATAATATAGTATAAATCTAAGAGCACTTATCACTTATCATAGACCGGGCTACAATAATCAAGGAAATATATTGGTATATCTACAGATAAGGAACTCAAATTGGCATGCATTAAAAGTGCAAAAAATTCGGAGTGCAAAGTTTTTGGATATCTACCATTTAAAAACAATATATTTTTCATTAATTCAATCAAAAATTATTTATGGTATAATAAAATGGGAAGGTATAACTAACTGTCACTTATATTTTCTAAATAAAATACAAAAATAGGGTTTAAATAATTTATGATTTAGAGAAATTAAAAATGAATCTTTTCTAGAGACCGAACGTTCTTATATAACTTATGTTAAATAATAATAAAAAAATTGTAAAATAAACCCACAAAATTCTAATTAGGGATAAACATTTCCTATTGAAAACGATTATTCCGACTCTATGCTTATCCCAACTTTTTTATTTTGATTTAAAACTTTTAACACCCTATATCTCGTTAACTAAGCTCTTTAACAGCTCATGTTCCTGCATCAAAATGCATAAATTATAATAGAAAAATTATAACCATAAACAATTTTCAACTTTAACACCCTGTATTTCAGAAATCGTATTTTATTCAGATAATCTTCAATTGTTCTGTCTCTCATTCTTAATGGGACACCCTGTATATTACAGTCTACACAACAGTGGCGGCTTATGCGTAAGTGCTGTATAGCCGCAGAACTGCCAAATTGCAATTATCTCATCTACTTACATTTCAAAGAAATTATTTTAAATATTATAAAATAAACGTAAAATATATTTTATGGATAATCTCATTAATTTTAATTATTAAATAGTATCAATAGCACGCGAAAGTATCCTACTATCATTTTATAACTGAGAATAAGTCCAGAGCGGACCAGTGGAAAACTTAACAAAAGCTCGCCAGGGTCACATTTATCTCTTAGCTGGATCGCTTCGGGACGGTCTGTATACCGATTAAGTTCCCGCGCTAATCGTATCGCCTCACACGGTTCTCTAAAAAGAAACGCCGTGACCAGTGTTGCCGATTTGCGTATAATTATACGATTTTCGTATATTCTGACTTGCCAGCGTATCTTTTTCTAACTCTTTGGAAAAACTATGGATCTTTCTGGATTTACAGTTTTTTTTAGAAATAAGTTTATTTGGAAAACTTGGTTATTTAAGTGTGTCTTCTGCTCTACTTTTATTAAGCAGTGGCTGACTGGTAGCTGGCTACCACACTCCATATCATTGACCAATGAAAACAGGCCCGGAGCCGGGGATTCACCGAAGCGATATTGTGCGTATTGTTGAAATGCATTTTGCTTTAGAACTTTTTGCTTTTGACAGTCTGTCTTAACGAAACTGCATTGCTACATTTATGTCGGCAGTGCCCCATCTCACAAACCTAAAGCCGAACTTGGCAGCAACACAAATTTGATATCCTCAAATGCAAAGATGTGGCTACAAAGCTAAATCTACAAAAGCCGAAAATAGCGTATCGTTTGTACCCAGCCACCGTATAATTTCAGGTTTGGGTATTAGCAACACTGGCCGTGACACGTAGTGTTTGGTCCAGCGTTGCCAGCATCGATACAAACGTATTGAAATTAATACATTTGAAGAAGATTTAGTACGTCAGTACATTTCATGTATCAGTACATTTTCCTACTTGGTCAGTACTTTTATTCTTTGTTCAGTACTTTTTTACCTAATTGGTCAGAACTTTTTCAAGCCATGGCAACGGTGATTTGGGTTGCATTTTTGCTTTGCTATTCGCGATTCAAAATAAGTGATACGCCCTCAGGGGGGCTATTTTCAAACTCGAGAGAATTTATTTCTCTCAAGAGAAATGTCATACGTCAACATAAAATAGTATTTTTAGGGCCCTTAGGGTCAGTGTGAACTCTCGGTTTATTTAGAGAGAATTAAAATTCTCCTAAGAATTTTAATCCTCGAGGCCTCTAAAAACAGCGTTTCCACATTGACGTATGACATTTCTGATGAGAATCTTGAGAGAAATGAGTGCTCACATGCTTTGAAAATAGGTCCCCTGAAGGAAATTTGTAGACGGTGTCTATAAGTAGGATACCGTTCAGTGTTGCCAGAAGTAGCGAAATTTCGCTACGTTGTCGGATTTAACCCCTTGAAGAAGTGGATAAGACCTTTTATTTAAGAATCAAAATTTGTGTCTAGTAATATATAATCATACTCTATATTTATTTAAGGATTTTTTTAAAAAACCGATTTATTATATTGATTTTTTAAAATTTCAGTTCATTTATTAATTTTGAGGAAGAGGGAAATATTCTCACGAGTTCGAAATAAAAATATTATTGGAAAACGGTTTAGGACAAAACTCAATTAGTCTTTGATTTTAGCAAAAAAAAATAGAAAAAACAGCTACAAACTTTTTGTGTAGGCTTTGTTACTGTTTCCCAGCGCCACTTTAGGAACAGCACTGTTAATTAGAACCCAACAGTGAATGGTCGAGTGGGGAATCCTATCTATGCATTAGAATTAATATTTAATTTTTTTTTAATTAAATAAAAATTCCTGCCACCGGTGGGATTCGATCCTGAGACCTTCTGAGTCATGACTCTAACCACTGAGCCAACCCACCCCCCAAAATAAATATTCATTTTTATTATTTATTTAAAAAACTAGGGTGTAACAAAAAATTAAAAGACTAAAGATTAATAGGGTGTTTCTTTTGAATACTTCAGCAAAAAATGAAATTACATTGATGATAAATAACTAAGATACATTAATAATGCTAAAATAATGAAC